AGTTGTGCTGCTATTCTCACTTTAGATGAAGGTTTACAGAACAAAATAGTTTCTTTAATTAAACAGTTAGTACACATATTGCCCTATGACAATGGTTAAGAACCCCACTACATGTCAACTGTCCTTACTCAACCTTGGGTTCCCTATCACCAGCTTTCCTGTCCCCTTCTGCCTTCTAGTGCTTGTCCCTGGACTGCTGTGCCTCATTAGTCCTGTTTTGTTTAATGGGGCCGTCAAATCCCTGGCCGAACGGTGAACCTCGGAAGTGACTTCACCACTGAACTAAAAGAGTGTCTGGGGGCCATACTCTAGGGGTTTCTCCAGTCTCTGTCAGGCCGGTAAATCTGGTCTTTGTGAGTTAGAATTATGCTCTACATCCTTCTCCAGCTCTGTCCAGAACCCTCTGTTGTGTTCCCAGTCAGAGCAGTGAGTGGTGGTAGCCGGGCACCATCTAGCTGTACTGGACTCAGTCTAGTGGAGGCCTTGGTAGCTGTGGTCCATTAGTCCTTTGGACTAATCTTTTCCTTATATCCTGTTCTCTTCATTCTCCCTTGCTCCCGAAAGGGGTGAGACCAGTGGAGTATCTTAGGTGGCTACTCACAGGCTTTTAAGACCCTGGACGCTACTCACCAAAGTAGAATGTAGGGCAGTGTCTTTATAAACTGTGTTATGCCAATTGAGCTAGATGTTCCCCGAGACCATGGTTCAGGGGATATTTTTGGGTTATGGTTTTAGGGTTAAAGATTACAGAGATGCCCTTTTTTAATGTGTGACATGGTGAAGCAAACTCTTTTGTTTTGAATGTTATTTTTTCTGTTAAATGCAGAAGCAAACTTGGCCATTTGAGCCCAGCTTTTTACCTCTGTGCCAGAGAGAGCTGTATTCAGTCAGGGAGGGGCAAAGCTTTCTTTGTAGTTCTGTCTAGTTTTTTTCCAGAAAGCCCAGCCTCTCATCTGCTTCCTGGCCTTCTCTTTGGAGGTCACTGACCTTCCTCTGTTCATTTCATGCCATGCAGAGAGAAGTAATGCTCTGGGCACCACGATCTGTTACTGGAGGAAATGAAATGTCTGTGGTGTTGGCGATTCCGCTTTCTGTCCCTCAGTGTGGGAGCCCAGTGATCATGTGGAGATTCATTTCTTGTGGGAATTGCCTTCTGGGCACCGAGCCTGCCTCTGAGCATGTCCACGGCAGCAGCTCTCCTTGCCCTCAGTGACCCCCCCTGCTGCATGACCTCTCCCCTGGACCCCCCCTTGATGGTCAGAAGCGTTTCACACAGAGGTCAAGGATGATAAGGGCAGGGGTGCATTTAGGTGCTCCTGTAATTCATGCAGCACCCACTCTGGGCCAGGCACTATGATAGGAGCCTTCAGTAGGTGGCCCAGTAGGGATGCCGTTCAAATGCAGAGTTGCTGTGGGGCCAGAAACCACCACTTCTTCAAAGGCCGGCTGTGATGGATTTTAGGGTGCCCAAAGCCACGTGGCCTGGATGGTTCTGGACCTCAGGGCCGTGCTGTGTGAGAAGGGAGAGTGAGGGAAGGTGGGGCTGCTCAGCCTGGGAGGAGAGAGCACAGTGGCCGTCTTTAGGTGTTTGAACTGTCGCTGTGCTGAGGAGAGGGTAGGGAGCAGTGGGTGGTGCAAATGGTGAGCATGCTCAGCTGTAACCAAGAGGTTGGAGGTTCAGTTCTACCCGGCGGTGTCTCAGAAGAAAGGCCTGGTGATCTACTCCTGAAAAATTAGTCATTGAAAACCCCGTGGAACATAGTTCTACTCTGACACACATGGGGTTGCCATGAGTCAGAATCAACAGCAGCTGGTTGGAAGAGAAATTAGAATTTCTAGAAACTGAGATAGCTCTAGATAAAGGTCAGAACTCTCAAACCAGTAAGGAGAGATTTTCAATAAGAAGACAGATTTCATTATAATGAAAGACAGAATTTTATAACTGCTAAAAACTGTACAGCAATGTAAATTTAAGTAAGTTCCCTTCTATTTCTGTTTTCTGGAAGGTTTTAAAAATCATACAGATGTTGCTCTTTATCAAATACCGTTTCTGTATCTGTGGAGGTAACCTCGTGTTTTTCTTTCTTTTAATCCATTAATGAGATATTTTAGACTGTTAAACCATCCTTGAATTCCTGAGATAAACTCTATTTAAATGAGTTGTGTTATTTTGTAATTCTCTGCTGGGTCCAGTTAGGTGACAGTTGAAGAGTTCTATGTCTTTGTTCATGTATGAAATGGGCCTGTAATGTTCTTTTTTAAAATTATTGCTTGTATCTGCATTTGGAATAAAAAATCATACTAGTCTCATCAAATGAACTGGGCAGCTCTCTCCCTTTTTATTTTCTGGAACAAATGTATATAAGATGAAGATTATCTGTTCTTTGAAAGTTTGGTAGATCTTGCCTGTAAAACAGTCTGGGCTTAGAACCTTTTTGGAGAAAGGGTCCTTGTGATCATTTCATTAAGATATTGATCTATTCGAGCTTTCTGTCTCTTTGTTTGCTGATTTCAGCATTTAGTGTTTCCCAGAAATAAACCATGTAGTGTCGTGGTTCAGAGCATGGGCTCTAAAACTGGTTTGCCTAGATTGGAACCCCAGACCTGCCACTGCTGGCTGTGCCACCTGCTGAATGTTCTGTGCTTCTGTTTCCTCACGCAAACATTGTTTTGTTGTTGTGAGGACTGCGTGAGTTAATAGGCAAAAAACAAATGCTTGGAAGATACAGAATTTAATAGGCATTAGTCGTCATCTTTCTATGCCCGGTTCACTTCAGGATGTAGCCTCGTCCAGGGCCCTGCCCAGGACAGTGCTTGAACTTGAGTGTATGAAAGCCAGCTTTAGAAAGGGGGTTAAGGAGGAGATAGTGGGAAAGGTGGTAGAGGAGAACCATGGGCCTCCAGCTAGGTAACTAATTGATGAGGTTCTCACAGGGAAAATTAACTGACCGATATTTGTTTATTCACTGTGTTTGACTGCCTTTTGGTACAGTATACAGTATTCCAGCACAGGGGCTCTCATTAATAGTCATTCATATGTGGACTGCAGGTGGGACCTGGTAGGGCCGTAGGTAAACCATCTCTTCTGCAAACCGGAATTAAACGTTGCCAGTTTATTAACCCCACATCAGTGTGTAAATCATGGCATCTCAGAGCTGGAAGGAACCCTCACGTTGTGTGGTCCTGCTCCCACACTGACAAACACCAGGGACCCGAAGCCTCAGGATGGGCACAGTTGTGGCAGCTCCACCTGGAACACCAGCCAGTCTGGGAAAAGCGTGGTGTAGGCTTGCCCTCCTCTGAGCTCAGCCAGCAAAAATCACACGTGCAGATTAGATGAGAAAGATTATTCTACACGAATTACTTTCTCTACAGAATTAGTATACTTAGTTTCCTGTAACTATCTTGCCAACAATACCACATTAGGTCCACCAGCCTTTCTGCCTGTCCCCTGGCCCTAGTAGAGACCATGAAATGGTGCCTGCTGCTAGCTTAGGGGAGCTTGGATGCCTGCATCTGGGATGGCAGCAGCAGCAGCCCCCGCCAGTCTTACCCATGCTTTCTCTCGGTGATCCTGAGAGGTCACGGGTGTGGGAGCTTCGTGGCAGCTATTGATAGAATCTATTTGGGACCAGCATTGAGCCTAACACGATTACTTTTTCTTTTTTTTTTTTTTAAGCTCCACTTTATTTCCCATTACTTGGCTGCATTCCAGAATGAATTTAAAAACCTCAGTCATGAAGAAAAGTCCATTATAGAAGAAGAAATGTTGCTTGAAGTCAACAGGTAATTGTTTCCTTTTTTTGATTTGTAAAGATAGCTTACCTCTAAACCAAAAACAAAAAAAAACAACAACAGCCCGTTACTGTGGAGTTGATTCCAACTCATAGGGACCCTATAGGACAGAATAGAACTGCCCCATACGGTTTCCAAGGAGTGCCTGGTGGATTCGAACTGCCAACCTTTTGGTTAGCAGCTGAGCTCTTAACCACTGTGCTACCAGGGCTCCTAACTTACCTGTACATAGAAGATATCTGGGGTGCCTACTTGAAATTATGAATATTTTGGGAGCTTCTTCATAACCATCAATCTCTAGGACTTGTACTTTGTCAAAAGTAGAAAATGTGGTACTTCTCCACGGTGGCCGAGATTGTTCAGAGCCTTCCAGGTTCAGTATACAGCGCTAAGGAGAACAGGTTTTGTGTACAAGTAGGTCATGCTGCTTGGCTGAGTTGCAAACTCTGATTTGTACCTAAAGACTCGCATATACGAAGGCTCTGCCGCACAGACCTGTGAACTCGCATCACTGCGTTCTTGGCAGATGCCCGTGGAGCGGTGCGCACCATCTAACACGCGCTGACGCCTCCTGGGAAATGATTGAAACTTTTGTGTACTGGTTTTAAGTCTTGCCTTCTTGACTGTCTTCTGACCTCCAGCATAGTGCTTTGATTTCCCAAAGCACAGCCTCAGAGACCTGCAGGTTCTGCAGAGTGTAGAAAATAAAATCCACTGTTTGTTCACACCCATCTCTTCAGTCGAGTGCCATGGGTTACTCTGTTCATCTGGGCCTCCTATGAGGTTATCCAGTAAACTGGTGGTTTAAGTAACTTCGGCCCACCTTGTTTGTTCTGTCCCCACCCCGGTAGACTGTTCACGGTCCCCGACAGTGTTCACACCCTCTCGCTGAGCACGCTGCCACCGTCGCCTCCCTAGGCTCCACCTGAGTGTAGGTCTTCTTTCTGTTTCTTGAATGGGTGGAAGTCGACAAATGGAGGTGGAGGAGAACCAAGACAGGAAGGGTGGCACAAGGGACTCTAGTGAGAGGCCGGGGAGCTGGAGTTCCTGGGACAGCAAGAAAAACTGGAAGATGAGGGTTTGGTGAGGCTACTAAAGCAATCGTTCTGAAATTAGAGTTTTGTTTAATTGAAGGAACCCCAAACGTATTGTTTTGAGTAGAACTGGGACTGTCAGTGACAGAGAGGGGCTTGTGCGGCCTGTAGGTGATGGTGTAGCTCCAGCTTCTAACTCCTCTGCTTCATTTCTGTGGGAGAGGAAGTGGGCATGGGATGAGGATGGGACTCAGGGAGATGTCTCTAGCCAGGGAGTAAGCGCTTCATTCCCGCCTCTTAGGAAAGGCAGCAGTCGGGCCTGCTTCCTCCCCTCATGCTGGTTGCATAATATGTTCTAAGAGATGTGATGCTGTGTGCTGTTGGTAGCAAAGATTGTTTCTATCCCTGTGCGTAGCCCAAGACTTCACCGGCTGGCCATAGGGGGCTTCCTCTGAATCCTGGGAATGTGGTTCTGTGTGCATGGGAAGGCAGCTGGGTGTGTTCACACCTGCAAGTCCACCTGTCACTGGCTAGAGGTGGGGGGAGAAGAGAATATAGCTCCACTGACTTTACCAAGAGAGACAAGATTTTGCGTCCAGATGAGTTAAAGTGCCCGTCAAGCGTGAACCTACTTCATCAGTCCTGTAACCAGTGTCACATACCTCACGTGTGACTCTTGCCTTTGTCATTGCAGGTTCGCCCTCGCGTCCCATTTCTTCTGGGGACTTTGGTCCATCATACAGGCCAAGATTTCATCTATTGAATTTGGGTACATGGTATGTTTGGGGGGATGGTTTCTCTTCTGCTCCCAGGGGAAAATGCTACAGTGCATTCGAATGCTTGGCAATAAACAACTGTTCCTTACAGAGGGTTACCGTTACCCCCAAGTACCTAACATGGTGACCTGGTGGCCCCAATGCCCAAAGCCAGGACAGGGTAGCTCAGCCCTGGAAAGCTGTGGGAGGAAGGCTCGTGATGTTAGCACCTCACTGATGCTGTGTTCTCTAGAGGCGCCCTCACCCAGAGCCAGCAGGACCTGCCTTCCCTGCTTCAGACAAGTGCTGTATGGTCCTGACCCTGAGGTCCAGCCCTGACCTCAGTCCTTCTGGCACAAGGGACACTAATGAAGGAGTGTAGGTGGTCCCTGCCTGCTGCTGCAAAGTGTTTTATTCATTGATTACCACTCCATTCTTTAGCCTATATTGTCCAGTGTGGAGTTGGAAGCTGATACTTATGAATTAGATGCCCCGTTTGATGTAGGCAAATTTGTAACCTAGGCTATAATTTTATCCTAACCTTGAGAACTGTCCTTGATGTAGAAAGACACTATTTTTGACCTTTGGATAAACCTTTCCTATTGCTCTGTAATGAGTGTAGGTGGGGTGTCTCCTGGAGTGGGGGGATGGACACAAAATTCTAGTCTAGCAGCTACCTTTCTTTGGGACAGGTGGGAAATGAGTAGTTCGTTTTATCCTCCGCAGTTTTATATTAGGATGATTTCTACTTCCAGTCAGAAGGTTTGATAATGCAAAAATGCTATTAAGCAAAGAAAGAAGGAGAAATTTGGATTTTGAAAGCAGATTTGGAGTCATGGTCAAATGATACTCTTAAGACAAAGTAGACTTTAGAACAAGGAATATTACCAGAGATATAGTAGGATATTTCATAATAGTAAAGGGATGGCTTCATCAAGAAGGCATAAAAAATCCTAAATATGTATGCACCTGTCTTTAAAAGACACGAAGCAAAAACTGACAAAACTGAAAGATCATCAAATTCATAATTATAGTAGGAGATTTCAACGCCGCTCTCTCTCTAATGGATAGCGAAAGTAAACACAAACCCAGTAAGGATAATGGAAGACCTGAACAACTGTATCGACCAACTTGACCTAATGAACATTTATTGAACATTCTGCCCAACGATTGTAGAATATATAATCTTTACAAGGGAACACGGAACATTCATCAAGATAGACGCTATGCTGGGCGATTAAACAGGTGTCAGTAAACTTGATAGAAATAAAAGAGAGCACGTTCTCTGACCACACTGGAATTTAAGTGGAAATTATAACAAAAAAGTGATCCAGAAAATCCCCATTTATTTGGAAATTAAACAGTATACTTCTAAATAAACTCTAGGTCAAAGAAGAAATTGAAAATAGAATGTTTTGGGCTGAATTATGAGAACACATAGCATATCAGAATTTGTGGAATGTAGCCTGCCTTAGTTATCTAGTGCTGCTGTAACACAAATTCCACAAGTGGTGGCTTTAAAGAACAGAATCTATTTTCTCACAGTTCTGGAGGCTAAAAGTCTAAATTAGGGTCTTGGCTGTGTCGAGTCCTTTCTTGTTAGTAGCCCTGGGTGTTCCTTGGTTCCTTGGCGATCCTTGGCTTATAGAGGATCCTCACGTGGCACCTGTTTTCCCCCGTGTGTCTCTGTCTCTTCTGGTCTTTTTATAACTTATCTAGCAATGATTAGGTTTAGGATCTACCCTACACTGGTATGACCTCATTAACACAACAAAAGGACCCCCATTTCCAAATTGGGATGACATCCACACAGATATAAGGGCCAAGAATTCAACATATATTTTTCGGAGAACACAGTGCAATCCATAACATAGCGAAAGCAATGTTTAGAAAGAAGTTCATAATTTTAAATGTTCATGTTAGGAAGAAAGTTCTGCAACCAGTGAGCAAAGTTCTACCTTATAAGGCTTAAAAAAAGGAGAACAAAGTGATCCCAAAGTAAATAGAACAATTGATATAATAAAGGTAAGCAGAAATCACTGAAATAGAAAATGGACAAATGAAAGAGAAAATCGATGAAACCAAAAGTTGGTTCTTTGAAAAGATAATGAAATTTATACTTCTTGGCTATATTAAGCAAGGAAAAAAGAAAAAAAAAGAAGATACAAATTAGCAATGTCGGGAATCAAAAAGAGAACATCACTACAGATCCTATAGACATTAAAAGGGTAAGAGAATATTACGAACAGCTTTATGCCAGCAGATTTGACAAGGTACATGAAATGAGCAAACTCCTTGAAAGATACAAATTACCAGAACTGACGTAAGAAATGGCCATATGTTAAATACATTAGATTCATAATCAAAAACCTTCCTACAGAGTAAACTGCAGGTCTGTATGACTTCACTGGTAAATATCATCACTTAAGGAAGAAAGAATTCCAGTCCTACCAAACTTTTAGAAAACAGAAGACGAGGGACATTACCCTACTCAACTGATGAGCCAGCATTACCTGTATACCAAAAACTGCACATCAATATCCTTCATGAACATTACACAGAAATCCTCATCAAAACATTAGCAAATTAAATTTGCTAATATATATAAAAGGATAATATATCATGACCAGTTGGCATTTGTCCCAGGAATGCAAGGTTAGTTTAACATTTAAAAAAGCAATCAGTGTAATTTGCCATATTAACACAGTAAAGCAGAAGAACCATATATGAATGCAGGGAAAGCGTTTGGCAAAATCCAGCACCCATTCATGATTTAAAAAATTGCAGCAAACTAGTAGTAGATGGGAACTTCCTTAGCCACGTAAAGGGCATGAATGAAAAATGTGCAAGCTAATATCATAATTATCGGTAAAAGACTGAATGTTTTTCTCACCCCCTGCCCCAAATAGGGAACAAAGCAAGGATGTTTGCTCTCCCTCTTTCTCTCCCAAGGTCCCAGCCAGTGCAGCCAGGCAGGAAAAAAAAAAGGCAAACATACTAGAAAGGAAGGAAAAAACTGCCGTTACTCACAATGAAATGATCGTGTATGTTAAAAAACATAAAGAATCTACAGAAAAGCTATTTAATGAGAGAGTTTATAAAGGTCATGGGATCCAAGATCAACACAAAAAACAGCTGCATTTCTGTATCCTAGAAACACTTAGAAAATGAAAAAAATTTTGTTTACAGTGGCTTTAATAAACGAGATATTTTGGGGGTAGTTTTTTGTTTAATGTGCAAGATTTGTACACTGAAAACTACAAAACGTTTCTAAAGGTAAAGAGTTAAATAAATGGAGAGAGAGACCATGTTCAAGGATCCCTGGTGGTGCAGTTGCTAAGCACTCAGCTGCTAACCTAAAGGTTGGTGGTTCGAACTCACCAGCCACTCCGTGGGAGAAAGATGTGGCAGTCTGCTTCCGTAAAGATTACAGCCTTGGAGACCCTATGGGGCACTTCTCCTTTGTCCTGTAGGGCTGCTATGAGTCGGGATCAACTTGATGGCAACAGGTTTTGCTTTTTATACCATGGTGCGTGGATTGGGTGACTCAATATTATAATGTCCATTCTTCCCAAACTGATCTGTAGATTCTCCACAGTGTCAATCAGAATCCTCTCCTTTTTTGTAGAAATTGAAAAGCTCGTTCTAAACTTTGTGTGAGAATGCAAAGGACCTCTCAGTGTTTGTTTCAGTACTCATGCTGCAGGTGATCCCGGGAAATAGGTGCCGCCCTCTTCCTTGCCTTGCTGACATCCCAGGGGTCTGTTGCTTTAAGAGGGGAACCTGTATTACATCAGTCAGTCAATGCCTACAGCGTTCAGGGTAAACAAGATGATGAACGATAACAAACGCCAAATGTCTAGACAAGAAGTCTGAGTTGGCAGGACTGGACTGGCCGAGGGGACTGTGAACTAGGTACATTTCAGTAGAGGTGTGAAGGCCCCCAGTGCCGACAGCATGAAAAGGCCTTGTCTTTGGAGAAATCCGGGCTCCAGAGTGGCCCGGCGGTACGGTCGGCCCTCTTGGGTCCTGCCGTCGGCCCTGGGGTGGACACGGGCAGGGTCTGGGCAAGCAGGAGCCCTTGGTGAGCCTTTGTTATTTGCTGTCTCCTAGGAATATGCCCAAGCAAGGTTTGATGCCTATTTTGACCAGAAGAGGAAGCTCGGGGTGTGACCGTGGGGCGCCCCTGGCGCCCCTCACCACTGCACCGCGCGGAGGTGGCCGGACAGGGCTCCTCTGTGCTGACTGCTGTGCCTGCGGCAAGAAGGCTCGGATGTCTCGCTTACTCCAGAGCCCAGATGTATATGATACTAAAGACTATTAAAATTGAGTAACAATTATTTCCTATCTTGTTTACGATTTCACTAGGACTCTGAGACGAGATCGGGAAGCAGAAATCTAGTGTAATAGTGCAATAGTGCAACATCTCACAATCCTCTTAATCTAGAGAAGGCATTTTATACCGGGGGCTTAAAGCTTTCTGTCAGATACGGCAAAAGCAAGAGTTAGCAGTATTACTGCGAGTACTGTTTTTTTTTTTTTTTAAATGTTGATTTTTCCAAAACTGAATTGATGTGCTGGTAAACACTGTGACCAGGCTCTTTGTAGTAACAATGTGTTGTAGACACTACTCACTCCGAGGGACCGTGCATGAGCGCAGACGTACTGTGAAGTCCCTCCGAGGCCTTATCCCAGGACGGCGTCCAGCTGTGGGCGTCCTCTGCCGGGTTCCCCGGGAAGCTGCTGGTTCACCCCTTTGGTCCAAATGGCTGATGCGCAAGAAAGCCAATTGCACAGGAGCTGTTGCGAGCTATGTCTACAAATGGATGAATGTAGTTCTCTGCTGTTGTATATTGCTATACAGCTGAACTGACATAAGTGGATAGAATCTTTGCCATGCCCTCCTCTAAGAACGTGCTGTTAACTCCAGCCCCGGGGCAGGCAGCTGTGCCTTGGGCCACGGAGGTCAGGGCTGCGTGGGGCCGTGCCGCGTGCCTGTCTCCTCTCGCCTGCCCGACCTGGCTGCTTGCTCCAGCTCCTGTGGCCTTTCTTGCTTCCTCTCCACTCAGCCTGGGGCTCGTCGCTGGAGGGACACTGGAGGGCTCGGCCCAGGGACCCCCGGAGGCGTCCTTAGATGCCCCTGCTCCCAGTGAGGAGGCCATGGTCAGCTGGGGGTGGGGGCACCCTGGGCCTGGCCCTCCGTGGTCACTCCTGGGAGCAGCGGTGTGTGTGGTGTGCAGACGTAGGTGGAGATGGGTGAAGTCGTATGTGTAAAATGCCCCTTTGGGATAAACTCTTAGATTTTTTTTCACTCTGAACTTTTATTTGAATTGTTTTTTGTGCATACATTTCTACTACCACAGAGATCGTACTACACAAAAAAATAAAAGAATTAAAAGCCTGACCTCACACTCAACCCTTGGATGTGTCGTGAATCTCAGCAAGAAACAGTTCCTGGTAATTCCTGTCCCTCCCCCGCCGCCAGCCCGCTGCTCGGAGCTGCTCTCCAGGCCTGGCCTGCCGGTGTGCCTGGGGCTCCCCCTCAAAGTGGGGGTTCTCTGGGCCATCGCACTCCTGGCTGCCCTCGGGGCTTCCCAGCCCCCTCCTAGCACCCCTCTGCCGGTCTGTCCCTGGCCACTGTCACCGAGTCCCCAAGTAGTCCACCCACACCGTCCCTCTGGCGGCGTCTCCCCGGGGCAGGGATCTCTGGAAGGAGGTAGAAGGGATGGGGGCGGTGCTGCAGCTTGGGAGGAGACTGAACGGCTGGGGCAGGAGAGAGACTCTTCACCCCCCCCACTTGTATCCGTTTAAAATTGCCACCAGGTGGAATGTGTTTTACCATCCAAACGGCAAAATAAAAATAAAAGCCACACTTACGCTTACAATCGCTAGTAGCTTCTCACTTAGAACGAAGATCCAGCTCCTTCCCGGGCCCGTGGCCCCAACATCCGATCTGGCCCTGCCCACCCTGTGACCCTTTGCTGGCCATCTCTGCTGGACCCTTTCCTCTGAAACCCCCATGCTAGGTCTTCACCCGATGGCCTCCCTCCTGTTGTTCCAACATCAGCTCAGAAGCCACTGCCTCAGGCCTCTCGGCTATCCTACCTAGAACAGGCCGTTCCTCAGACACCGCTCACCCCACCCGAGCCGACACTGGTTCATATCCTTCACTAACTGCCACTTGCTCGGCTCCTGCGTTACACCGGAAGCTCATGTGAGCAGGACTTGGCGGGTCCCGGTCACTGACCAGGCCCTGTGGGTGCTGGCCTCCTGCAGCAAGGCTGGGTATAGGCCTCCACCTTTTGCACCCCTAGGCCGCCCGGGGCCCTGCTGACAGTGCTCAAGCCTCTGCCTCTTCCCAGGGCCAATCCTGGCCCAGCCACAGGCAGGTGACCCCATATCTACCTGATGACCTCACTCCCCTGTGCGTCCACCCCAGTGCCTTTGCACATGCTGTCCCCAGGGCACCTGAACTCCAGCCAGTGCTGTCAGCCGACCATGTGGCAAAGCCAGGGTGGGGCCAACCTGGGATCACACGCCTGCCTCCCCCACACTCATCTTTGCGCCACCACCCCACAGCTCCCAGCACACGCCTGCTCCCCTCTGCCCAGCTCTCAGGAAGCTGTGAGGCTCGGCGGGCTCGGGCTCAGTGCAGATCAGATCCTGTCCCTCTTCCCTCCATGGCCCTCAGTCCCAGCCTGGGGCCAAGCGTTTGGAGCCCGTGACTCCTGTCCTAGCCAGGGACTGATGTCCGTGAATCTGAAGCAGCTCCGAGCCAGGCCTCTGCCAGGTGTGTGGAATTGCTGCCGGAACCACTGGAACCCATCAGGCCTCAGACTCTGAGCAGCAGTCCAGGACCCAGGGGCAGACTCCTGCCAGCAGCCGGCCAGATGAGGGCCATAGCGGCAGACCAGGTGGCCCCGGTTCACTGTGCCCAGGGCATGTGGCCTCTGTCCTGGGCCTCCAGCCGGAAGAACCATTTGCAGCTCGTTGGCCAAGAAACCGAGGCCTCTGCGAAGCATGTGCTCTGCCTCCCAGCCATGGTGGGGCCCAGGCCAGAGGGACCTGTGGGGACCCACCCCCATGCCCCAGCCAAGGGGAGCAGGGAGACACGGCCGTCTGGGGTGCCAGGAGGCTGGGGCTGGTGTCTGAGCTCTGCCCCTCCTCTGTCCCTCAGGTCCTGGGTGACTCCTGCTGCAGGAGAAAGCCTCTACCCTTCTCTATGAAGGAGCGTGGCCTTCACTGTGTGACACCACCGCCCGGATGGAGCTCTGCCAGGCAGCCGCGGTGACCCAGCTGGCCTCCACCTCAGGCACCCTGGGCCCCTGGGGCTCAGCACCAGGGCCGGGGACACTGGCTGGATTCACAACAGGAGCCACCCTCCACCCTGAGCATCCCAAGCAGATCCTTACAGCCAGTTTGCACACCTCCACAAATGGAGGGATCACTCCCCACCCCCACCCCTGCCTGCCTGGGAAGACACATGCTCATCTGGAGCTAGAATGGGCTGCAAACAGCCCTTCTCAGTCCTAGTTCTGCCCGCCTGGGCCCCGCGAGTTTGGGGGTTTCAGATGTACCCCCAGGGCCACTCCCACCTCTGAGCCCAGATCCTCATGCCCACAGCCTCACTCGAACCTCAGGCCACTGTGGGGCCCAGACCAAGGAACCAGAGAGGCCTGGAAAGGGGCCGGCCCAGAACCCAGGGCCCTCCGTCCTGCACCCCTGGCTCTGCCAGCCACCGCCAGACCCAGCGCTCCCCAGCCCGCAGGGACCAGACAGGACCAGAACGCAGTTCCTGAGTCTCCCCTCTCTTTATTCCTTTTCGGCCTCCGTGAGGTAAGGGCAGGGGTAGGGGGTTCTGCCAGCGGGTGGGCGCTACTCGTCCTCCACAGCGAAGGTGAAGGGAGTCAGCTTGTAGCCAGTGCCCGAGTAGAACTTGTTCTGGAACTCCACCCTGAGGGCGTGAGCGGGAGTGGGTGGTGAGGGGGTAGCCCCAGCCCTTCCCTCCCACCCCGCCCGGCCGGCCGCGGGCGCTCACCAGTGCAGTCGCAGGGCATGCAGGAAGGCCGAGAGTCCCTCCATCACCAGCAGGATGGCCACGGTCAACATGGCGAAGGCGGCAAACAGCGGCACCAGCACGGCCGCCGTCACGCCCACCCTGCTGCCCATGCCCAGGCCCGTGCGCATCACCATGGTCCACAGCACTTCCGACAGCTCTGCGGGGGGAGGGGGCATGGGCACCAAGGGCGAAGGGTGCTGCCAGCCCCGCGCTGCCTGCGCCCTGCCTGCTGTGGGGACCTCCCCCACTCTCCTTGACAGAGCGTGCACCGAGGCCCGAGGCCCGGAGGGCTGGACCTGCCCCCGCCCCCGCCCCCTGCCGGTCACTCACGGGCGTGGGCCAGGCTCAGGGCCCAGAGGCGCAGGTAGGAGGCGGTGTTGGAGATGCAGCCCAGGCAGAACTCGATGGTGTGGATGGCCTGGTGCATGAACACCTCGGAGAAGGCGAACTGCAGTGGCGGGCTGCGGTAAGGGGCCAGAGGTCGCCCCCCCAACCACCCCCACTCAGGAAGGCACCGCACCCACCTTGGCCTGCTCCTCGTCCCCTGGGGGCCCCCCCTTCTCCTCATCAGATCCCCAGCTGTTCACAGACGCACCGCTGTCCCGTGAGTCCATAAACCCAGCCTTGTCCTCGTCCTGGGTGAGGGGAGCAGCGTCAGTGACCCCAGGGCCACGAGGGCGCCCACCCGGTGCCAAGTACCGCCCACCTGGTGCTAAGCACCTCCCACCCGGTGCCAAGTACCGCCCACCTGGTGCTAAGCACCTCCCACCCGGTGCCAAGTACCGCCCACCTGGTGCTAAGCACCTCCCACCCGGTGCCGAGCACCTCCCAGAGCAACTTCAGGGGGCAGCCTGGAAGCTGGGGCTCAGGGTGGCACCGCCTGACAGTGGTCCTACCTCCCAAACAGCATCCCCTGCTCCCTGGGTCCCTACCAGCTGTGGGCCGGAAGGCCTTCTCAGGGAGTGGCGGCGGTGCTGCCAGCGCAGGTACAAGGGCGTGCCCAGCAGCAGGATGGGCACCATGGCCAAGGCCAGGACCACCAGTGTGGACTGTACCACTTCCTACAGAGAGAGGGGTGAGTCAGAGTGGCCCCCATAACTGTGGACGAAGCTGGCTTTGTACAGAGGCCACTCCCGAGCTACATCCCCACCTCCCAAACCCCTCACTAAGCAGGGCCATACTCCCTAAGGAATCTTGTTTGCAGAGAGGAGACCTCAGGCTTCTAGAACCTTCTGTGCGTCACCCCTGCTCGGAGCTGTACACTGTTGCCTCTTTGGCTCCGTCTGCGTGAAGCTTGTGACCTCTGCCTAAATCCCATTTCTCAGATGAGGATACTGAAGCTCCGAGTGGCCCACTGACCACAGGGCCTAAGAGTGAGTGTGAGGCTGGCTCCCCTGCCCCAGCCCACCTGCCCAGAGTAGAGTGGCCGGTTGGTAGGACTTCGGGAGAAGAGGAACATGTTGATGAAGTGGATGAGGATGCTGGGGGCCTCGGCGGCGCCAGCGGCCGAGACACGCAGCCACTTGTAGACAACCATGAAGACCAGGTAGCCAAAGAGGCCCAGCAGGAAGGTCAGCTGGGGCAGGAACTCCAGCAGCAGCCGGTGGCGCTGGCCAAAGTGCCTGGGCCGGGAGGATGGAAGCGGGTCACCGGGGTCCACCCTGCCTGGCCAGACCGCCCTCGCCCACTGTACCCTGGCCCTCACACGTGGTTGAAGACTCCAAGGACCACCCCGAAGGCCATGTGGATGACCCCCAGGATGATGGACATCTTCATCTTAAAGGAGTTGAGGAAGCTCAGGTGGTTGGCGGCCAGGCTCCAAATCTGGGAGAGGAGGGGCGGGTGTCACTCCTGGACCCGTCCTGCAGGACTCAGGGGGCCCCCAGCCCAGGGGTGGGGGTCACTCATCACCCTGTTCATGCTTTACAGCCTTCAGCACAATCTGTAAGTGCCCACTGAGGGGCAGCGGAAGGGAGCCGTGAGAGCTCGGGCCAAACCCCAGCTCTGCTGCCTCCCCACGGGCGGCCTTGGGCCTCAGCTTCCTCATCTGTAAAATGGGGTAACAATGCTCACCACCCCCCCATGCGGTTGTTACAAGGATTAAATATAAATCAATCCACATACGGGGTCTAGAACAGGGCCTGACATGGGGCACATGTCACTTCTCTATGCCGATCTCCTTATTTGAGCGACTGCTCCTCCCAGCAGAGAGAGTGGGCCCAGAGAGGCGGGAGCGCCTCTGTCCCTGTCCCCTGTGTCTCCAGGGCCTCAACAGGGCCTGGCATACAGCAGGTGCTCAGAAGAGCCCTGAAGGCAGGAGGAAAGAGGTGGGGAGGTGGGTCAGGAGTCCCCAGGTCCTCCTCTGCTCCTGATGCCACCACCCACGGGTGAGCGGCCAGGACTCACGGGGTCGATGCCGAAGGGGTAGGGTCCCAGGAAGACGCCGGTGACGTTGGGGTCCAGGGTGAGTATCGGGTGCTGGGCCAAGAACGCGTCGCTGCAGCAACAGCGGGAGGTGAGCATGGTAGTCAGAGGCTGGGCACAGCCGGTGCTGGGGCGCGGGGAGGGGAGGGTGGGGCGGGG